TCTAGCAATAAACTGCTATTATTATAATTATTATCATCATTTATATATTACTGAAATTTGTGTTTAGATGCTTGTACCCTCAAATTAACCCAAACAGCACATTATACCACAACAATTTTTTAATCAAGGTACCAAAAATGCGCTAATGTAAAGGATGTGTAAAAAAAACCTGGGACCCATTATTTCTGTGAAACTAAAATTACCACAATATTCAAATCAGTTTTATTTGCAAAGCTGTGCCTTTTGCAGCATTGTGCAGTCATATGATCATGATTTCAGATGCTCCTTGCCAGCTTCCCACAAGCAAAGTCAATGGGAAAGTTGTCAAGAAGTCAGAAGTTACTCCCACTCCCACTGCCATTTTGCCTTCCTGTGGCCATTCTGTTTATCTAGTTAGGTAAGTGAATATTGATTTATTATTGAAGCTTGTTTTCCACTACATTTTTATATATTTATGATATATCTCCTTTTAGTTGGACATGGGACTGTCCAGCATAAGCATATGGCCAGTCTAACATTTAATATTCATTGTAGTCACATCACTCTCTCAAAGAATTATCCAATAGGTCACAACTGTCCATTTATTATTTTATTTGTTTGCTGCTGGATCCTCCATATTCAGAGCAGTGTGCAACATATAGTTTATAACTAGGATAGGATAGTAGGATAATTAACATATAAAAATAAATATAGTAAAAATGAAACACAAATAACATTAAACAAAATATAAATTTGTAACTGTTAGGCAAAAGTAGCAATAATTAACACAAAATGAAAAATGTAAAACACCAAGGACAAAAAAATCATACCCAAAACTCTCCATAAAAGCTTGTCTAGACTGATGAACACAGTCTATACTCTACAGGGTAGCTCTTCCAAGTGCCATGACTGAAAAGTAATTCTGTTGCGAAACTAGAATGACATTTACTTGAAACTGTTTTATATAATTGTAAAACAGATTGCCAGTAAAGTATAACCGAACATGCTTGTAAGTATGCTTATGCCTTATGTCATACCATGCTATTCACTTCCACGCTTGATCTGATTTTCAATTTCAACAATGACCTCATGTCTAGGAAATGGATCCTATTGAATTATATTAAGAAGTAGATTATTTAAACTCAAATTTAGATTTGATATAGGTCAATATTTTTTAAAAAAATATTGCCACATCAGTATAATAAAATGAGAAACAATGATAGGTCAAACTAAGGACAAGCATCTTCTGAGTAAGATAAAGAAACTTGTTGAAGTGCGCTGAAATTTCATGATGTGCCTAATGATCAGTTTTCTAAAAAAAGTACAGTTATGTTGGTAATCTGTCCCTTATATAATCTGTACCAGTCTACACTCTTAGCCCTCTTTATTATGAACTAGCCACACTATTCTGGAGTACTGGTAGTCCTTGACTTACAACAGTTCATTTAGCGACTATTCAAAGTTACAACGGCACTGAAAAAGTGAATTATGACCATTTTTCACATTTATGACCTTTGCAGCATCCCCATGGTCATATGATTTACATTTGGATGCTTGACAACTGACTCACATTTGTGACAGCTACTGTATTCCAGAATCATGTGACTTTTTGCGACATTCTGATAAGCAAAGTTAATGGGGAAACCAGATTCACTGTATTACTGTATTACTAACTTAACAGCTGCAGTGATTCACTTAACAAATATGTTAAGAAAAGTCGTAAAATGGGGCAAAACTCACTTAACAAATTTCTCATTTAGCAACATAAATATTGGTTCAGTTGTGATCTTAAGTTTAGGACTACCTGTAGTTCCAGAGTTACATTTTAACCAAGACATAGATAACAATTGCCAGATCAAAACAGTTTAGGAATAATCACATTGGTATAGCAGATATATTTGTACAAACAGATCCTTGACTATTGCTGCTATTTGAGAATCTAAAGACAGTTGAGGGTCAACAAGTACTCTATGACTCTGGTTGTTGTCTGTCAGGGAGAGCATAATTCCATTGGGAAGAAATGGAACATCAACGTAAACGTTTGGGTCCCTATTTATGAAGAGCATCTCCATCTCATCTAGTTTTAATTCATCTTCTCTATTTTTAGCCTATTATCAAACTTAGATAATCTTTCAAATATTTACTTACTTGAAGTTGAATGGTAAGGAATGGTAAAAATAGTTGTTATCAGTATATTACCAGAAGTTCTACCCAAAGCCTCAGATGGCTTCCCCCAGTGGTTTCATATAGATGTTGACCAACATGAGGAACATGATGGCTTAATCAGAAAAGGTGCATTTTTACTTCCAAGTCAAGGGAAGGTTTCTTTAATAGTGTTCTTAAAAAGTGGATAAACATTTTGTCATCAATCAAACATTAATTACTTCTCTTAATCATGGGGGCAGTTTTTTCCGACTGATTTAATTAGCCAGGAGGGACAATGGCTGAGCAGACATGTCTCCAGGCAGCACTAAAAACTTTAGAAGAAGCACTTGCTGTGTGCATACCTCATATTTCAACCCATATGAATAAAGGGATTCTGGGAGTATGGTCCCAATACATGCAGAGATGCTAACTTAGAGAAACATGGAATGACAGAAACGGTGTATGTGTGTGTAATTTAATTTTCAAATTAATTTTTAAAATTAAGTGAAGCATTTTAATCTTTTGTAATTATATTATCTACTATTGTATTACATTGTAAAAACTTTAATGAAATTAGTTTTAACACTAATATAGCAATTATTGCCAATGTTTCCACAGATATTTCGATTACATTATAATACTTTTGTGCAGGAGACAGACTTATTATTCGTATATTATAGATTGAGAAGGAAGGGACTGAGGCCCAGAGACTAAAATTTATCATCTAGGTTAAACTAAAATATGAAACAAAGGTAGCAGTGTTTATGAATTTAGCCATCATTGGGAATGTAATTTCTGAATTATGGTCCCATAGAAATGTCTAATCTATTATGGATACCTCAGTTTTTTTCTAGGTAATCAAGCCTACAGGGGTAGAACTTTTTAACCCTGTGGTCAACATATTGTATTGTTTTCCGATTCTTATTGCTTTGGGGGGGTTGTTTTTTTTTAATAATATTGTAGGCAAATTAAGGCCTTCCCTGTTTTATTTTAATTCTTTTCTAAGTCCTAACCAGTTTGTCAACTGTTTTTAGCGCAAATCTCATCTTTATTCATGCTACATTCCTCTCATGCAACTGTACACATTTCTGCTAAGTAATCTTAGTTTGCTGATCATTCATCCATCATTTTGCTTACCCTTGCATAGAAATCAGTTCCCCATCTTCTCTCTCACCACGTCCTCCTTATAATAACTTTTTCCTAATATATTTGCAGAGTATTTTGTTGGTAAGGTCTCTGTGGGACCTTGTTCTGCCTTATTAATATGCATTGATTTCTCTGCATTGGCTTTGTTTTGCCCTGTCTTCTAATGTTCTCTTATCATTAAAGTCCCCCCTTTCTCTGCGTATGTCCTTTCTGTGCTGCTGTATCATTGCTCGCTCCCTCAGTTTGTCCTCTTTTTTTCCACTTTGTTTAGAAGACTTTTAAAAATTATCTTTGGTTTTCTTGCTTTTTCTGTATGAGGACCTTCTATTATAAAAAAGCCTTCTGTATTTTGAAGCTTTTCCAATATATTTCATTTCAACCCTTTGACTATGTTGGCTGGGGATTATGAATGATGATATCAATATTTGTCAAGAGCATGAAATTGGGAAAGAATAGATGGTAAGATAAGATAAGGTAAGGTAAGGTAAGGTAAGGTGGGATGGGCTGAGATGAGATGAGATTAAGGGAGTGGAGGGGAGGGGAGGGGGAGGGGAGGGGAGGAGAGGAGAGGAGAGGAGGGGAGAGAGATAACTTTTATTGTCATTTTTCTATATACACAATGGCGTACATTAAAATGAAATTCTGATGCTGCTGTCCAAAGAAAAAACGCCACACACCAAATAATGTCACCATCTCAAAAATAACAATAATAATATAATAACAGCAGCAGCAGCCAAAAGTGCCAAGTTATACAAAATGACACCAAATCTTACATACATACAGAATAGTATAGAAGAATAGAAAGAATATTTTATTATATCCTTCTTTGCATTTACAGAGACCGTCTTATTCCATCATCTCTCTCTATACCTTTGTCTCAATAACAGTAATCCTGTGGATAAGAATTTCTACTTTTTAAAAAATTATAAACATTACATTTGGGGAAATTATATATAACAGTAATTATTATTTTATAAATTGTGCTGGTATGTTCATTAGCATATTGAATTTTTTCCTTGATTGCTTAAATACAATTAGTAATCCAGTATAAACCTTATCTTTCTCAGAGCCTGTATCAATAATTCCATCATATGATTTAATGTTGATATCTGTGAATCTTTGTCCTCTATCTTTACTAAAGCCCTCTCCAGAGACATCATCTTCTTAATTCCATCTTCAGCTTTCAGAAGCTGTATTTTTTAATAATGAGAAACATAATCCCTCTTGGCCTACATCATGTCTTTCCCCATTTTACATATTACAAATTCTATAATTTTTAAATTCAGCAAAATGTAGACAGTTATTCTCATGGTGCAAAAAAGAAAATGTAAAAAAAATATTCCCAGAAATGCTAATCTCCATTTAGGAAAGCTATATATTTTAAATCCAAACTTAATCATCCCTAATGTAGAACATTTAAATCAGCAGTTCTTTTTTATTTTACTCCCCTTATTTATTGGTTTCACTATAAGCAGGATTAAACCTGGATCCAATCGAAACTGACTTTTCAGTGCATGCAGGCGTTCCAGCATATTAATGGAGATTGCCACTAGGTCCATGGAAAGAAATACATGAATGTAATTGGGTCCTCTCTTAAATTTAAACTAATGAGACTACCTACTTATGCAGGGGTTTCATTGGTGTCTAAACCCAAATAGAAGAACTAAATTAGTTTGTGAACTGCTTATGATGATATATTAAAAAATCAGATGCCTTTTTTCTTTCCACAGTGGCATGGCCGTGCAGCCAGCTTTGATAGTCAAGGTTCCTGCCCCTCTCCCAAACCATCTTCAACACCATGATCCAACAAGTGGTGAATATTGGGCCTCGACCAAATTCTTTTTCTTTTGCTCTGATATTTTCTTTATGGGTTCTGAATTCTGATTCAACCTATTGCTGAATAACAGAAGACTGGCAATCAGACATTCCTTGTTTCTACAGTGAAAAAGGCACCAAATCCTTTTATAGTGGTGTTTGTCTTTTTATTTCTATCTCTCAAGGTGACGTACTTTGTGCTTTTCATTTTTTGGATATGGCTGCTAAGAAGAAAAGAAAAGAAAAGAAAAGAAAAGAAAAAAAAAGAAAAGAAAAGGCATAGGCTGGAACTCTGGCCTATAAAATAACATGTAAAATATTATTTGTGTGTATGTAAAGGGACAAATTATTAATTGAGAGCTGTTGTACTTCTGCACATCAGCATGCAGATTTAAAAGAGACAGCAAAATGAAAAATGAGAAGGCCTTGATGAGGCTCCTTGTGACATGTGAACACCCTTTTGTTATTGTGATCAGTGAGACATTACAGCTTTTCTTATTCATGCTGTGATGTTCATGGAATCTGTGAAATACAGCCCAGCCTGTCCTTCCATGTATTTTAAAAAAATGCTAATTCCTCAGGGAGAAATTATCCATTTTTTGTAGTTGTGTTCTTGAAAGAGCCTTTTGCATGAATTCAGCTGCTTCAGGTCCTGTGAAGTCCTGCACTGATTACAGGTTTGTGAACTTTTTTAAAAACTATTTCTCTTTTATATATTGATTTGCCATTTCTCCTCTCTTCCCCCCCCCCCTGCTAAAAATAATTATTTTTAGGTAGGTATTTTTCCATTGCGATTTAGTTCAGGTTTCGTCAAGAAACAAATACACTAAATTAAATTAGTTTGTCACAATTATTTTCAAAATTAACTTCTTTGGATGTGGAAGCTCAAACAGGGCTTTTATCCTCCTCTGCTCTGCAAAAATGAAAGATTACGCATTTTCTACCAATGTTTTCACAATAATTATTTCTGATACAGTTTTGTTTCCTTTTCTTTGTAAAATCACAAGGCTGTCACATGGCATTTATCTTTATCTGTCACATAAGGGTGCTAATAATGGCATGCTGGCGCTGTATGTAATCTTACTCTCATTTGCCCACCATTGCTCAAAATACTTTTCTGTTTCTGCCTCTCTTTTGCCTGTGCTTATAACCAGTTTATAATATTTAAATGCAGCAATCAAGTAAGCTATACTAGATTAACATGACTCTTTCTGGGAATTTATCAATATCTTTTCTTTCCTACTCCTAGAATCATTTTTAAACATTCTTTTTAATTTCTACAGGGACATGCAAAATCCCTTGGTCCCTTCATAGCCAAACAGCATGCTCATAGTAAAACTTTGCTGCAAATTTTGGCAAGTATTTTTCCCCAGTGCAAATACCGAGAGTCAGCTGATATTAAATCTACTTCAGCTCAGACCTTGCATTTTCATTATCTTCAACATCCTTGGACCTGCTGTGTCATAGATTCTACATTTAGGCAAGAAAAACCAAATGCACGAGTACAGCATAGGTGGCACCATGCTCAATAGTAGTAACTGTGAGAAGACCTCGGAGTCCTAGTAGACAATCACCTAAATATGAACCAGCAGTGTGCTGCAGCTGCCAAAAAGGCCAACACAGTGCTAGGCTGCATTAACAGAGGGATAGAATCAAGATCACGTGAAGTATTAATGCCACTCTACAATGCCTTGGTAAGGCCACACTTGGAATACTGCATCCAGTTTTGGTCACCACGATGTAAAAAAGATGTTGAGACTCTAGAAAAAGTACAGAGAAGAGCAACAAAGATGATTAGGGGACTGGAGGCTAAAACATATAAAGAACGGTTGCTAGAATTGGGTATGTCTAGTTTAACAAAGAGAAGGACAAGGGGGGATATGATAGCAGTATTCCAATATCTCAGGGGCTGCCATAAAGAAGAGGGAGAAGCTATTTTCCAAAGCACCTGAAGGCAGGACAAGAAGCAACGGGTGGAAACTAATCAAGGAGAGAAGCAACCTAGAACTAAGGAGAAACTTCCTGACAGTGAGAACAATTAATCAGTGGAACAACCTGCCTCCAGAAGCAGTAAATGCTCCAACACTGGAAGTTTTTAAGAAGAGAGTGGACAGCCATTTGTCCGAAATGGTGTAAGGTTTCCTGCCTGAGCAGGGGGTTGGACTAGATGACCTCCAAGGTCCCTTCCAACTTTATTATTATTATTATCGATCATCGCACAGTCAGCCAGATGTTCAGACTGGATTTGGCATTTTGTTTACCTATCGAGTCCTTACCCAGGACCTGGGATAGGCAGATGTGGATGTTTGATGGTATTACAGGTATCGTCGCAGGATGGAAGCAGTTCCTAATAAGGCCGCCTTTTGCAATTTACTAAGAGCGAATTTGTCAATGGCAATGGTGTTCAAGTGGTGCTCCAGTTGTTTTGGGATTGCACCTAAGGAGCCTATTACTATTGGTACTACCCTTGCTTGCTTTTGCCACAGTCTTTCTATTTCTATTTGTAGGTCTTTGTATTTTGTTATCTTCTCCAGTTCTTTCTCGTCTATTCTGCTGTCTCCAGGCACTGCCACGTCCACTATCCAGACTTTTTTGTCTTTCTTATCGACAATTGTTAAGTATGGGGTGTTATGTTGCAGGTGCTTGTCTGTTTGAATTCTGAAGTCCCAGAGCAGTTTTATTATTATTATTATTATTATTATTATTATTATTATTATTATTATTATTATTATTGTTATTATTATTATTATTACTACTACTACTATCTTACTATGCTATTGCCAAACAACTGAAAGGTAGCAGTCATAGTGGCCAGGCTGCTGCTATGTGGTTACTACAGTACCAATGTTATCAATAAGCATTTGTAACATTGCTCAGCAATGAAGACTTAATGTTGGCACTGCTGAATTGATGAAGCTTGTAAAATTTTGGCATGAATAGAGCTCTGCTAATTTACCTATGGAACCAATACTTTTAAAAGAAACATAATACACAAATATTGATGATCTCAGCTTAGAGCATTAACTTTCCAGAACTTTCAGTGCATGAAATAAATTTACTCGTCTTTTGGGGATTAATATTTAAGCACAATGAGCAGTAGGAAAACTTGAATACATCTGGTTTTATTGAACTAAATAAAACTATATTGTACAGTTAACCTTTTCCCATCATATTAATTTCAGTGGGAATTGAGATGTCTCCAGCTTTCTCTAAATTTTTCTCTATTCAGCACATATGATCCATGCCTGGAAGCAAAGATCTAAATAAGGATTATCATTCTGAATCCAATTCTGCAAAGGTCAAATGTTGCTGATTGGATGAGGGTATATACATTTTGTGGCACATACATAATACCTCTTCTGTACTGTGCACTGAGAAATAAATTGACAATGCTTACAGACTTAAAAATACTGACCACCTCTTCAGTAGGCAGAGCCAATACCCAGAGGCCATCAGTTTAAGAGTTTCTGCATCACAGAAAGCAATTACAATGTATTAATGGTTACTCACAATACGTTTTCATGAGAGTCCTAAGAATGATTTAGTTTACAAAAATATCTCTGCTAAGATTATTCCCTTTAGTTTTGTTAGGTTTTTATCTACTTGACAGGGATATTATTGTGTCTTTCAAGTGATATTTGAAATATTTTGCTTTTAGACTTGCAATACCTGTAATGGCAGAAGTGTTCTCAAATCACTGTACGGTAACGGTCCACCTAGATACATTCAGTACTGAGCCCATTTTTTTAACATACACTTTTAAAATTTAATCATAATCCTTATCTACACTCTGAATTAATGTTCTGACTTACTGATCTGTATACTTTCCAGACTTCTGTAAATTACTTTGTAGGGAAATTTTGTTCAGCTAAAGACCAATTTGTTCTAGCTCCTCACACACCTTGTGTCTTAATTTCCTCTGTACGTGCCCCCGCTACAGGAGCATCAGTCTAATAAAGTGACTTTTTTAAAAAAAAACTCTTTGTCTTGGACATAATTTTATTTTGGTTTTTTTTTTTCAGTTTCCTTTCTGCAATGAGGAATGGAAACTGCCAGTTAGTTAATAAAACAACATTGTGTCAGCTGTAGGGGGGGAAAAGCTCAAAGGTACAGTCTAGTTTTTGATAGGAAAGAATTTTTTTGCAATCTTACCTAACAGAATGAGTGATGGTTCTGAAAATAAGATATTTTCAAGTACATAATTAGAATACAATGTACTTTATTAGTTTTCCTCAATTTGGGGCCTTTAGATTTGGTGGTCATATTCCCAGCAAGTCTGGTTTCATGCATCCTCAGTGTAACAAAGGAATGGGTTTCAAAGTTCATGAGAATCTGAAAGTTAAGCTTTTTTAATTTTGCAAGTTAGAAGATTTAAACATTGTTGAAAATGCGTGTAATTTTGATTATGGACTATCAAGTTGATGTCAACTGTTAGCAGCTATCACACAGAGAGGATAATATATCCTCAGTCTGGCCTTTCAAATTTTCTAATGATAGCTCCATAATTAGTGGGATTGAATCTGTTATGTTTGGTGATCTGTGAGGCATCCATGAGGCAGCAAGTGAAACAACAACTCTTTATTAAAGGTTTAAACAGAAGCCTAGCTAACTGCCGCTCCACCCCTATTTATACACTCAGCCACTAGGCAGCGGCCAATAGGATTCAAGTATTAGTTCCTGCTTTAACACAAGTTAATGAGCATGTAGACAGAAAGTCTGGCCCTTAGCAGACAGAGTCTTATGACCTTTTTTTCAACATTTCCAAGTAATTCTCCTCAATATATTACAGAATCCATCCATCTTGCTGCTGCTTATCCATGTCTTCTCTTTCTTTTTCCAGCATTATACACCTTTCGAGAGATTAGGATGTTCTTATAATGTGCTGAAAATATACTAATTTAAGCCGTGACTTGTATTTTATGTGAGAAGTTTGGATTGATTTATTGTGAGCCATTTATTAGTTTTACTATGTATCCATGATAATCTTGGATTCTTTTCCAAGAACAAAGTTCACAAGTGTTAATACACTTTTTCCTTTAGTCCATTTGATTTTCTTTTAATCAGTTACTATCTGTCCATTGGCATCCTTTAACATACCAATTCAAGGTCAGAATCTCCCTCTGAGTTCAGAATTCTTTTGGAAGACTTTCCTTGTTTTTCTATTTCTGTTTCTACCATAGATATCTTTACATATATCACTGTAATACTGTTTCTAGTCTCTTCTAATAGCTTTCTGAAATTCTTTATTAAGTTCCTCCTGAGCTCTTTGTTTCATTGGCTTTGGGTTATTTTTTCTTCTTGGCAATTTCCACCATGTTTTGTCTCCTAGTTTTCTTTCTTCTTGTTTTTTGTGTCAGATTCAACCTTAACAATTCCTTTGATTTTCATGCCAGAGTTCTTCTGGTTCCAAATCAGTGAGGTATAGGACTATAACGCAATTCCTGATGTTCTCCTTGAAAATTGTGAATATTTGTTCAAAATGATATTGTGGAAACTGACTGACAGGGATTTCTGGGGAAAAAATGGGGGACTGGTAAATTAACTCAACTTTCTCTGGAGGAAGTGAGGTTGTAAGATTGCCTATATTGCATTCCATGTCTTTGTTCCTCTCCAAGGAGATTGCTTGGCAGTAGTCAACAAATGGTGGGAGAAATGGGAGTTGAGAGAATTTACTGTGCTTAGTCCAGCTGCAGACAGTTTTAACTATAGAAAGTTTCAAACAGGTTAAGGACTCAGAAAAGGTTGGGAGATTTGATGTTGAATATTGAGACTTTAAAAAAATTAGTGCATTTTCATGGGAAAGAAAAAATATTTTGATATTGGAGACGTAACAATGGAATTCAGAGATTTTTGATGAATTGCAGTGAGATTTTAAATGAACAATTTCAGCTATGTTAAGCATTTTACTGAAGACTCTGTTTTCAGAAGAGCTGCTACACCAGAAGATGCCACTGTAGAAAATAGTCTGACATGATTATGGAGAAAAATGTGAACAAGAACCTTTCACTGATATATATTAAAAAAAAAGTTGTCAAGGCTAGAAAAATAAGAAGAAAATAAAAATGCCAATTCATTTTTATGTAAAAGGAAAGAACATAACATTGGCTCATTTTATTAGGGTTAAAGTGGGATATGTTGTTATTTTAGGAGGATTCTTTCTGGACTTACTAATACCTAGCCTGGAAAAATATTATTATTGGATTTGCTTGCAGTTAACATGGTGCATACACCTTTTTTTTTCATACAATCATTTTATCTATCCAAATTGGCTTAGTATCTAACTGCCTTTGCATTTAAAAAATCTTTTTGAGCTTGTTCTCTTTAAAGGAGATATTGCCCCTTTTTGTGAAGTTAAATTTCAGCCTTGTGTTTATATTGGGGTACTAGGAGCACTGGATTTGCTTACAGTTAAAAGTGAAACTGTTTATACTTGTGATGAGATGGGAAGTTGGTTTCCTACTTTTTTTCTTTGCTCTTTCTATATTTTCTTCCTTTTTTGCATTTTTATTCTCTCTCTTTTTAGTTTGTATTTTCTTTTACTATTGTAATTAAAATATTTAATAAAAATATTATTTATAAAAGAAGCTGATTGGTTTTGTTCTTCAATTTTAACTTGATTGGACACTTGCACATAAGCAATTTTTGATCTATTCCACAGATAATCCCCAATTATATCTTTCCTTCTGTAACTGAGCTCTTCTACCTCTTTGTCCTAATAATATACTCAATTTTATTTCTGTGTACTCCACCTGATGGTGCCTTAGTACATAAGCATCATTTTCATTGTTTGAAGGGTGATACCAATGAAGAAATAATTGGATTGGCAGAGGTTGATAAGTCATTCTCCTGCCTTATTTTGATTTCCTAGGGCATATGGTATTGCTACATTTTCATCCTTTTTATTTCTACCATTGACATTTCTTCTCTGTTTACATACAAGTGGCTTGCCCTGTCAAGGTTGTGAGATTGTTCTTAATAGTTGCTTGATTAAACTGATGTTTACTGTTTGATTGCATAGGAGAAGGAGTGGTGGAACCTGGGGATGGAGTTTAAAAAGGGATCAGCCTAGAATCCCTAGTTAGCCACATGCAGACTAAGTCCAACCCCCCTTCAATTCCATGGACTCTTATTTAACTCAAAGCAGGTGCTAACTGTTAATTGGGAAGATTCCTGTACATAAGCTGTTTAGTAATAAATCAGTTTAAGTGGACCTTCACATGTAGACTTAGTCTTTCATGCCTAATATTCATCTAGATCATGGGTGTCAAACTGCCAGCCTGTGAGCCAGTTGCGTGTGGAGGCCATGCCCACCCCAGCTCTGGCAATGCAAAAAAAGTCACAATACATTGTGACACGTCACGTGACGTGGCAAGTTTGACACCCATGATCTAGATTAATTTAGATTGATTATGGGAAGGGGATGGAATTAGTTTACTTGTGGTTATGTAGGAGTTCTAGGTTGATCCCTGTTCTGCCACTCCTTCTCCAATGAAATGTGTGTATGACTTAATAGTTCCTTGATTGGGGTATTGTTTACTGGTTGATTGTTGGTCTGTTATTGGGTTTCTGGGTGTTCCCTAAGTTTGGCTGATGTTTTATTACCAGGCTAAGTAACATCACTGGTGTATAGTGAAATACACAGGCTGTTTATATATAGCTTGCCTTATCAGTCTTAGTTGGTATATGCTTTCTTCTTAGATGGCACTTTGATATTGTTTTTCATTTGCTTTTTAAAACAATTTAGCAATTTGTACTTAAATTCAGGATGACCCATCTATCTAAATCACTTGTGTTTATTTATTTGTTTGTTTGTTCAATTTATTTGCCATCTGTCTTGCCATGGGGTTACTCTAAGCAGCTTACAACAATAAAAAGGGGGAAAAAATAAAAGGAATGCAAACAGAACAGTAGTAAAGTAATAAAATAAACAATGATAAAGGATCACAAAGAGAATAATCCAAAGGTGCTTTTTGAAGAGGCAACTGGGTTTTCTTGTTTTTCTTTGAAGACATTTCATTTCTCGTCCAAGAAGCCTCTTCAGCTCTGACTGGATGGTGAGGAATGGAAGGATTTATATTCCTTTTTATAGTCCTGACATGACTGACATTTAGCAATGCACTTTTGGATAAACACCCTTGAATGGTGCAGGAGTATGAACAGATTTCCAGAAAAAATGCAGACTACAGGAACCATTTGCTCTTCAGCTTGAGATGGAGACAACACAGACTCATTTCTGTTCCTGTGGTCAATAATGAAGATACACAGGGCAGAAAACATACTGCATAAATCACAGCTCCATAACACAGTCCTTTCAACAATTCCAAGAAGGCTCCACATCTATTTGCACTACTCAGGTGTCCCTGAAGACACAGACAAACTTCCAAGTGGCCTTAATGACTCTCTAAAAGAATACAAGTGACCAGCTGTCTGCAAGGAATATAAATCCTTCCATTCCCCACCAACCAGTCAGAGCTGAAGACATTTCTTGGATGAGAAGTGAAATGTCTTCAAAGAAAAACAAGAAAGTCCAGTTGAAAAAGCACCTATAAGACAATTGTGACCTGGATGACTGAGAATCTCCATAGACACAATGAGAATAATACAACTATGTGATAACCAAACAGATGGATGGGTGGAAAGCAGACAGTGAGTGAGAGGTGGGGAGATGGAGTCTGCCATCAATCTAACAGCCACCTGCAATCGGATATAAGAATGTGAGGTACTAAGTTGGCATTGTGGTACTGCAATGCAATTCCTTGACTTCAATTGATTTATTGGTTACTGCAGATGCCTATTTTACCTGTACCTCACAACCAGCAGAGTGTTTTCTTCATTATTGGAGAGAGAAAAGGCAAATATGATTATGAGGTACAGAATTAGAAATTTGAAATAATGTTACTCCTGACATTAGGAGACATGCTATGTAAAGACAAGTAAAATGAAATGGAAAAAAAATCCTAAATAAAAACAGGTCCCTTAGCTGGCTGACATTGCCCCTGTTGACCAATAGACTTAAAAGTGCAGAAACTCAGTGCATTCAATCTTGAATTTGCCAGCACTCCAGCCCTCTCAAAAGCATTAAATTTAGCAACGCTTACATGTTAGCTAGAATAACTAATGATACACCTCCCTAGTTTTCTTACTTTCTTTGTAAACATTCACCTCAAATGTTTTCTATACAATTGCTATTCTGTTTTAGCAATTTCCTTTAAAAAATACCAAAGTCACATGTACTGTATAAAGCTTGAGTTTTCCAATTCTTTCACAGAAATGAACTTTGTCTCAGGAGACAACTAAAAGAACATCTTTCAGTTCCTTACGGAGGTCAGTACCAAGGGTCTTTTATCTTTTTTTAGAATTGCATGTGAAATCCAGACATTCATGTTCTCTCTTTTCTTTTTAGAGTTGATTTTAATAGTTACTTACAAAAATATCCATGCCCTGCCTTTTGTTTCATAGGTTCTCAGAGTGACAGGAATTGGCTATTTGATCTTGGCTCAGAAACTAGGTGAGCCTGGGCCTTACTAGCATTTGGTTGAGAGACTACCATGGGATACCAGGGCTGTACATATCTGAGTGAAACAACATTGAACCATTTGTATAGTGTTGAACTACGTGGACACAATTATCAAGTCACAAGGAGCTGAAGCAAGTTTTATTTTCACAATAGTAATGGAAGTATATGCTAAAGGCCCACCCCATCCCAAATCTTCAAGACTTAAATTAAGCAAGCACCAACATGAACTCATGAAATGAACATTTTTTTTAAAAATGGAGAGAAAAATACTCCAAAGCTCTGTAAAACAATACTTTCAATGTCATTTTGCTGTTATTGTTACTATTTATAAAGAACTGGTGTCTTCAAAAAGTAAATTTGTTTAAAAATGAACAAAGTTCTAGGATATGCAATATAATACAAGATCTCTCAAATAACTTTGATTAAATCACTACCCCTGGTAATGAATGAAATTCAACAATATCATAGAAAGAAGCTTTTATTTCTCTGTTTACAAGGAAGAAAACAATCCAATCTATCAAAGTGATAGAGCTTATTTTCTTATTGAATGTATATTACAAACTTTTATACCAAACTTGCAAAGAGAACAAATGATTTTCTAGCTGAATTAATACATCCTTAGATTGGATTTGTCCCAAAGAGTTGCATGAGAGACAATATCATATACCTTGTGAATGTTGTGATAATATAAATTAGAACAAGAGAAATGGACCTTTGTTAATGCAGAAAAAGTTTTTGATTATTTCAAGTGGGCTTCCATACTTGAAGCTTTGAAGAAGATATTTTTTACATAAATACAGAGTATTTATAAAGAATAAGGTCTTAATGTTAATGGTTTTTTTAATCACAAAAAACTACCCTAATGAAAGGAACAAAAGACACTTGTTGCCTGCCTCCTTCATTATTCATAATGGCATAGCAAAGAAGATATACCAAGAATTTTCAGGAATTAAATGCTGCTCAATAACATAAACTAAAATTAAATGCTCTTGATGGGGTACTTAACTAAACTAAAGGACACTTTAGAATTGATGATGGAATATATATAACAGCATAATTTGATTCCATGTTTTTGGATCAATAAAATTCAAATGCTGATACAGCTTTTGAAAAACATCATTTGTTCCAAATAATTAGTTTTAATTTCACTTCAAAAAATGATAAAATCTGGCAATTTACATGACAAATATAAGTATATTTAAAAGTAATGTATATACTTGTAAATAAGCCCATCTGCAGATAACTCTCAAATTTTTAATCAATATGCCATGCAAAATGCAACACCCACAGATTAACTGACCATCAATGTTTGTATGTTTGCATTTTTGCAATTGGCTTTTCCATGGGTGAAACATATTTTCATGGTATTTTCATTACAAATTTGAGGGTTGGCTTATACATGACTGAGTACTTAAAACAAATATTACAGTATTTGTAATACTGTACAGTATTGCAGCAGATAACTCAAACCTAATTTGTGGGGTGTGTTTTGCACCTAAAATTCTTGATTTATCTTTGGGTAAATACAGTAATTATTCGCACATCTATAAAAATATAATGGCACATTTTTTTTAAAGACCAAGTTTTGAGATTACTATCTTTCTTAGGAAGAATTGTAGCTGTTGACATGAATATTCTATTCAATCTAAATGTTCAATTGCAAATGACTTTAACAAAAATTGAAAACAAGTTATTAAACATAACATAGACAAATAAAGAGAGCCAGTTTGGCGCAGTGGTTAAAGCACCTGGCTAGAAAACAAGAAACCTTAAATTTTAGTCCTCCCTTGGTTACAAAACTAGCTGAGCAACTTTGGGTCAGTCTCTCTCTCTTAGCCCTAGGAAGGAAACCACTTCCAAAATACAGCACCAAGAAAAATCTAGGGACAATCTATAAATTATTAGTGACTCTGAATAAGTTAAAAGTTATATAATTAAATGGATTTACAATTTAAATACAATGACTGATATGCAACAATGAGAATTTTAGTCAGAGAAAAATGTGACATTCACACCCAATATTATGCTTAAAGAAAACTGGTATAAGATGTCTTATCGCTGGTATGTTGACTGCTCAAATGATTAATTCATTCTCTAAACATGGTTGAAATGTAATGCTTAGATTGTGACATTTTTCCATATTTGATGGTAATGTTGTAAAGTTTTACAATGTTGGAAAATGATTTATAAAGAATGAAACCATTTAAAAAGCCGAGCTTCCTTCCAACTGATTTCTGATTGAATGCTTTATTACTAAACCTTGCCTTCCCACAAAGTATATTGAGTACGCCTATTTATGATAACTGCTGCAAGGATACTCTACCCTTCCAACTGGAAAGTGTTCACAGTTCATTCTGAAGAAGAATAGAAAATTAAGCTTTTGGAGTATGCCTTGATACCCAAAATAATTTCATGTGTCAAAAGTAACTCTGAGACAGAATTAAATTCAACTGGGAAACCAGTTTTGGATTAAAACTCAATATATGAGATTTTATCATATCCGAAATATAAGTTTATCTTAACATAATCTTTAATTGCTCAAATATGCATACATTATTTAGATATTAAAAATGAATTGTAGTTTTTTTTTAATATATTTTATTGGTTTTTTTTAATTTTAACAAAGAGTACTTTAGACACACCATGGTGTTTGGGTAAACAAACAATTCAAGGTAAAAAACATACATAAACAGCTCAACTTAATACATTCACTATCATCTCTCTATTTCTCACAAATAACATAATAGATTTAATATATTCCATTTCTAGCTTAAATTTCTGTTACTACTCCACCTGTTTTAAAGCTTTATCAATTTAAAATTACCATAATCAAATATTGTTTTACATGAACAAATTATCACTTCAAGTATCTCTACCATGTATATTAAAGTTTTTAATCTCTCTCAGCCCTCTTCTTATCACCAATCTCATTCATTTCTTCTTCCAGTGATAACTAACTTAATTAAAAAAAAAACAATGTTAAACCTTAGTTCCTTTCAATTCTAAAATGAATTGTAGTTTTTAAAATGATATAGTATATTCAGTTACTTAAAATTAATCAGTGAAATACTGAAAATATTAATTGATTTAATGTTTGTAAACTGGCTATTTCACTTTGTGCTTTTTTCATCCTTTCCCCCTTTTTTCTTTATGTGTGCATATGTTTTATTTTTTCCTTAAAATACTTAATAAAAATATAATTTTAAAAAGTAAACTACTTGATAACCTACTTTTAAAAAACCAGAAATAAGTACCCTCCTCCTAAGGAATTGCAAAGGTTTGGAGGAACAATTATATAGTGCAGAAGCTGAAGCAAGCATGAGGAAGAAACCCAAAATAATTCTGCCTTGATTTTGTTAGTAGAATAGGGGTCAGAAGGAAATTTGGACAGACTTCCAGTTTCTGACAATTAAGTAACATTCCTGGATTCCTTGTAGTAACTATTTCTTGACTTGGCTTACCTCAAACGTCTAACAGGAATTTACTGTCTCCCTCTACTTTATCCCAAATACTGGGATAAAGTAATTTAATGGGGTAGGGGCACTAAGGATGTCTTCTATTATAAATACTGCAGCTTACTTATATCAGAAAATGTGCTGCAGAATAAACTTTTGGTTGCAATATATCCTTTCAGAAAACTACCATGAAAATAAGCATCATAACTCTAAAAATTACTATAATATATACAGTAATATTTTAGTAGTAGTAGTAGTAGTAGTAGTAGTAGTAGTAGTAGTAGTAGTAGTAGTAGTAAAGTTGGAAGGGACCTTGGAGGTCATCTAGACCAACCCCCTGCTCAGGCAGGAAACCCTATACCATTTCGGATAAATGGCTGTCCAGTCTCTTCTTAAAAACTTCCAGTGTTGGAGCATTCACCGCTTCTGGAGGCAGGTTGTTCCACTGGTTAATTGTTCTAACTGTCCGGAAGTTTCTCCTTGGTTCTGGTTGCTTCTCTTCTTGATTAGTTTCCACCCGTTGCTTATTGTCCTGCCTTCAGGCGCTTTGGAGAATAGCTTGACTCCCTCTTCTTTGTGGCAGCCCCTGAGATATTGGAACACTGCTATCATGTCCCCCCTCGTCCTTCTCTTCATTAAACTAGATATACCAATTCCAGCAGCCATTCCTTATATGCTTTAGCCTCCAGTCCCCTAATCATCTTTGTTGCTCTTCTCTGTACTCTTTCTAGAGTCTCAACATCTTTTTTACATCGCGGTGACCAAAACTGGATGCAGTATTCCAAGTGTGGCCTTACCAAGGCATTGTAAAGTGGTATTAACACTTCACGTGATCTTGATTCTATCCCTCTCTTAATGCAGCCTAGCACTGTGTTGGCCTTTTTGGCAGCTGCAGCACACTGCTGGCTCATATTTAGGTGATTGTCCACTAGGACTCCGAGGTCCCTCTCACAGTTACTACTATTGAGCAATGTATCCTCTATACTATACCTGTGCATTTGGTTTTTCTTGCCTAAATGTAGAACCTTGCTTGCTTTTTTGAATTAAATGAAGAGCAATAAGCTGAAAACCATCTACAATGAATGATTTGGAGATACATATCTCACTAAGTAGGTACTGTATATGTATGTTGAATTTATCTATCTAGGTACAGGAGCAATTTGAAAACATATTATTTGTATGCAAAATGATCAGGATTCAGTTCAAAAAAGACTGCTATGGGAAATCTGGGAAAATCAATCTAATATTAAGCTTCTTGGACCAATGGTTTGATTAATTCAAAGCAATTTATTAAGTTCTATCTTATAAAAGAATATTTCATAGAAAATAAATAAATAAATAAATGTCAATATGATAATCTGACTGTAAACTCAGCCAGTGTTTATGGATGCTCCATAGGAGTAAACTACCCTACTCTATATTTTATGTGATAATTAATCAAGAAAACATATGTATGTGGGTATCATTGCATTTTTAACATACCAAAAACCAAGACATTAAATTGCTACTATGTGGTTTATTGATGATGTCTTTGAAAAATTTTAGATTCATTAACGCTCTGATGATATCCTGTTGAGTCTAATGTATGCCTTATATATTGATTTGCCCTTGAAAAATGGTTAGGAATTGCAGTGGTTGAAAATAATGATTCAATTCCTGACTGGGAACATGCATACAAAATACATCTCATCAATTTTAAACAATCTTCTGGATCATTTATTAATTAACTTAATTAAGTAATTAAAATCAAGTTAGAATAATCCCTTCCTATGTAGCTTATATAATGATGATGAACCAGACAAAGATATTGTCCTTTGATTCTTAAATGACTCTTGATGAAGCTAGTTGTTATGGATAAGCACCCTGCACTAAGCACTTTTGCTGTTAAAAACAAATCAGATTTTACCTGCTGTAGAAATGCAGCAGCTAGATCTTATCCTTGTGCCTCTGAAATTCTTTTAAGAATTTTTTTCTTATTTATAATGTGATATTATAATTCAGACATGTCGAACTTGCGACATCACGTGACATTGTGCAACATATCGGGACTGTTTTGCCATTGCCAGCAATGGGGTAAGCGCGGCTTCCGCATGACGCATCCAGCCCATGGGCTGGCAGTTTGTTATCCTATATTTGTGCTGCACTTAGTGACAAGCTCACAATAAATAAAATCAATACTGCTATTAATATTTTTTCTTCAAGAAGAAATGGAATCCTATGCATTCAGATGTTTAAGTCTACCCTTATATTATAAATATCAGGGTTAAGTGCCCAGATAACAAATTGCATATTTCAAAGCATCTTAACCATATGTTTGAGTCTGAATAACTGAATTTCATCCAACCATAGCTGTCGAAATGACATTTGGGACATATTTACTGACCATATTTTAGGCAACTGACATCAAAATTACTTGAACGGGGAGTAATTTTATTCAATTATGTCATACTTTGGGCTTCTAGGGGGTCTTGTTCATCATCCTGAGGGCTTAGATAAGCAAATATTTTCACATTTTAAATTTCCAAGGGAATATCTTTGTGATATTACTACTACAAAAGTTATCACTGGAAAATCTCCACTGGGTGAGATTAAGAATTTTCACTTATGTTTATTCAGATTTGTTTTAGATGTATTTACAATCACTTTTCCAGCTATTATCTCATATATTTCTTTTGTCTCATTTTATCTTTTTACCTAAATCAGGGAATGCCAAACAGGTTCTAGCCAGTGCAAGAAGGCACTTGGAGGTAATTGTGCCAATTGCCCAGTTTATGATATGACACAATTTCATTTAAGCAATGTGTCTTCAGAAGATTCAACAGAGATCAACTGTATTGGATTTAGAGAATAGTAAGAATTTTTTTCTGTGCCATGGTTAACATAAATAAATGAAACTCATATTCAATTTCTTATGCCGCAGTACTGTTGATTATTTTAGTGAATTAATGTCTGTAGTAGGTTAATCTCTTACAAAAAAACCTCTCATACATTTCAAAAGATGCAACATAGAAAATTACACTCTAGTTCCACAATCTCAGCATAATGTAAGAATGATAATGCAAAGGAAATACTTATTTATATGGTTGGACTGGGGTATTTTCTTTCTTAGATTTATTCTGAAATATTTATTTATTTTTATTTATTTATTTGAATTTATATGGCCACCCACTCACTGTCAGTGACTCTGGAAGGCTTATACAAATACAAACAATAAAAACAATAATCGCCACCCCCCCCCTTGGCAACAACAATCATTCAATCAGTCAGTCAGGCATACAATCATTATATTTCATACAAGGGCTAGTTATCAAATCAAAGATTTGTCAGACCTGAAAGGCACCAGAGATAACCAATTGGCCATGTGAAACAAAGAATAAAGAACTATGCATTGTTTTTCCTATCATTATAAAATTAATGTATAGCTGTTAATAGGCTGCTGACGTATCACTCAGATGCTAAGCAACCAGCAGGACCGTCTTGAGCTGAGCCTGTTTATTGTGAGCTATGAATGCTCTTGGCTCATTATGTGGTTTCTGACATTGATTATCTTTCAGGCAACTATTTCAGTTCATGGCAGCCATAATTTTCAGTCAGCATGTGGTAAATTCTGGCCTCATTGCCACAGAACCATTTATGTTTGTATATCTTGGAGGGGAGCTGTAGCTCAGATGTGCAGCACGTGCTTTGCATGAAAACAGGTCTGCAATTTCAGAAAGAAAATAACTCTGCTTCAGAGCCCAGAGAGATACTACCAGTAAGAATAGTTAAACCTACAGCTCCAAGGTTGTATAAAACTCCCCAGCTCATTTTTAATGGTAAATTCTCGTGATGCAGGAAAATAGGAAATCTCAGCCCCATCAATATACACGATATAATTCCATCTGTTTTG